AAAGACATACAAAGTAATTTTGGGTGGTAAGAGCAGAGATGACAACTACTCCACAGTGTTTGCATAACTGAAGACTAAAGAAGCCTGTTTACATGTAGTTTAACACTCAAAAGAAACTCTGAACAGCTGAAATGCCTTATAAATAGCTCAGACCCAGAGGAAGTGCAAACGTCTGCATTGTGAATTGTAGATCTTAATTACAGACAATGGCTGATACAGAAAGTAGCATGGAAAAAAAAAAGTGAAACAGTTGCACTGTTCATGGTTGGCAATAATTCTTCAGGAAAATATTTACTATCAATCAGTTATGAGAAAAGGGACTCTGCGCTCATAAAACAGCACGTTGCTTCTCATACCAGGACCATTTTGCTTCAGTATAATCTGAATTTAAACAGCTTGTTTCCTGCGGATATAATTTTGGAAATAAATAAAACAAGTCTATCAAAATCTGGAGAATGTGTATGGTGGGGTGGGGGGAGCAGGAATATCACATTTCTTTCTCAGTCATTTGCAAAGAGGTTATTAGACCAAGGGGAAGCTAAAGCATAAAGATTGTCTTGATGTAAATATATATATATATGTATATATATATATATATATATATATAAAATAGAAATTCACACATCATCACTAGGTCAAAGCTTTTTGCTGTTTTCTACTTGTCCTGTTTACATACTGAGAATTCCGTTTCAAGGCAGCTTTTGAACATAAAGTAATCCCAGCAATGTCCCTGCAACACCCCATGTTCACACAACGCCATTTTTACAGAGAATACCTACAACAGAAGAGTAAAATGACATGCTTAAATCTCTATTAGACAGTGTTTCTCCAGTTTGCAATGTCCTCAGAAGCTGCCACCCCAGAGAAAGGTATTACCAGGCCACAAAAAAGGATGGTGCTACCAAGGGGTTTAGAGTTGGAAGCCCCTCTGCCTCATTACACAGAAGCTTAACAAGAAAAACTAAGGTATGGAGGTTTTCTTATTAAAACAGTGGAAAGAGCATCAGGAAATAAAACGTAACTAGTCAAGTATTATTTGTTCATTATTAAATTCCTCTAATTTCAATCTCAAAGACTGAAAAAGCTTCAAAAGCATGGGAAAACTATGCATTATCTGAAGAAGACCACAGGAGAACTCTAAGTTGGTTGTGTTGTTCATGCTAAGTAAATGCAGGGACACTCTCAGGGAAGAGGAGCCATCAATCTGTGACATAAAGGGACTTGAGAGTACAAGAGGGACACTTCAGATCAATTTGTCCTACTGCCAACTGAAACATCTAGCCTGGAACCCTAAATGTTTGTTTATTAAAGAGTACTCATGGTTCCTCCTTTGAATTAATAGACAAATTCTCAGCTCAATGTTATTATTGTGCAGATTATTTTATTCTAAAAATTTGGAAGTAGTGAAGCAGACAGAACTGACAAAAGAAGGTAGATTTCAATTACCAACTACCTCCACTCACTCCTTGCTTTAGCAGAATTATCCTTGAATGTAAAATGTGTAGCTATAGCTAAATAAAACTATGCATCTTGGAAACAAAATTTCACATAGAATACTTGAAGTGCCAAGCCCTGTGTTCCCAGAATTGAGCAGAACATAGCTCTGTCTCCCTGTGCACTACAGAAAGCTTGGTGAGCAGGCAGAACATCACTGCATGTATAAACAGGACTTTACATCCAACGGTCAAAAAAGCATCATACAGTTACATTTCACAACATTTCTGCAAGGAGAGTGTTAGTCAGTTTCCTTTTTGAAGAGAAGCAAGAAAAGCCATCATGGCCACAGAGAATAAAATCACAGTGCTTAAAATAAAGGGTATAAACCCCTTCTAGATTCCTGGTTCAATTCTCTAATCACTGCAGAATGCACATTTAAAAGAATGATGCACAGCAGTGAAAGATTCCCTAGAAGACACAGGATGATTGAAGGAGACTGAGAAATCTCCTGGTTTACTGGGACCTTAAAAAGCAGGATCAATTTTCACAGGTGGGTAAGCAAGGAGTGGCCTGAAACAGAAGTCTAATTTTTCAAGGATGGTGTGCTTGGCTGTATTTTTCTTCCTTCAATTTCACTTGCCTCAGATAAAGGCAGGGAACCTCTTCCAGCTGCTGCTGAGTTCAGAACTAAGTAGAAACCTGGGAATGCTGTCTGCTATTTAGAAGGTGTCTTTGTGCTGTCTCTGTCAGGTATGCCATAGGGTGCCTATCTTTGGCATGCGTAGGAAAGAATTCAATGTGCAAAATGAAAGTGAGAATACTTCTTTATACAGCAGATACAGATGAGCTGGAACTGACTCCAGGAGTTCATAAACAGTAAAGACCTGTCTAATGAATACAGGAAATGGGAATTGACTGTAGAACTCTGTGAGATCAGCTGTATACCAGTCTCTTGCTGGGAAAGAAAAGTGCACTTCGATCAGAACTTTGAATCAGAATTTCCATGAGCCTGGGAAGTGCAAAGTTTAATGGACTGCATGTGAACAGCAAAACTAATACAGCCCACATTATGAAAGGGTGCAAAGTTAAGAAAACAGGAATATATGTAATCCATCCAAGCAAAGACTCAGCCGAGGATGCTGGAGACATTGGAGCCTCCCCCACTGCACAGCAAATAGAGAGTGTGAAGGTCACCACAGAAAGTAAGTAGCCCTGGATGCAGAACAGAAGAGAAACTTGTTTGCACACCCAGAAGCATCACAAGAATCCTAGTGACATACCAGATGCCAGGGGATTTTTAACTGTGCCCCTCTCTAATTGAGGATGAAGCACACACCAACACCATTATCTGGCCTGAAGATACTGGCTTACAAAATATGGAACAAACAATAGGAACAGATGCTCATTTGGCCAGATTTCAATAAGCCTCATTAAAACCAAGCTCCCTGTCCTTGGAGCTCAGGTTCATGCCACACTTCTACCTTATTTAAGCACTTAGTACCAATTCCTGAGAAAGCTGTACAATTGTGATTGCACACAACTAGTATCAAAAGAAGAAACCCTCCCATAGACATTTTTTGGTTTCCACAGAGACAAATAGGAGGATTTTTATATATATATTTGTGTGTACACATATAGCAAAACGCAACTCAAAATTACATTTCCTTCTTAAATACATTTGGTTAAATATACATCAGACCTGTTCATCACTCAAATGCCATGGGCAAAAAGATGCCAAAACATTAATGGAAAAAATCCCGAGGATGGAAGAAAATCAATATTACAGAACATAGAGGTGACACCTGAACATCACAAGATACAATTTTTAATTCAAGATCCTACCTCTTTGGTCAAAACACTTGAAACAATCTCTGTTGCTCCTTCTTTGCTTCTACCCATATATGCTCAAGTCTCACCAATCAAGTTTCAGAGGACAAATACCAGAAAACCACAGCCAAGAATCAAACTCTAACATTCATCAGAACACAATATTCTAGTGTTATTTTTAAATGCTTGAATAAACGCACATAACTCATAGGTTTGCAAGACACTGAGCTGCACAGTCAGACTAACACTGTAAAAAAGACTGGGCAGACAAGGTTTCCCAACACAGACTTCCTTGAGTGGTCAGAAAGACAGTGTTCCTATGCTACTCTCCACAACTGAAAATGCATGTATGTTATAAACTTATTTTCCCTGCAACTTACAAAGAATGCCAGTTGATAAGTTAGCAAATTACTCTTTACTGTCCTGTACAGAAACATTCCTTCACAACAGGGCTTGGTGGACGGACAGTGCTTCAGTCTGAAAAAAGGTATCTCAATATTGATGCGTGAGGCCTTGAAGAAAGAGGGAGCAGTGTGTGCGATGCCGGTCATCTTAAGCTAAGAAAAGGGGTGTTGGTATTAAATATAAGCACTTTGTGCCATGCTTGGTAGCTTTTCTCAGAAGTGCTTCTCCACTGGAAGATGACCTGGTACATCAAGCACCGTTTACAAGCACTAAGCCACCTGCAAGCACCATGACAAACTTTTCTGATGGCCAATTCCCTGACAGGAAACAAAAGTAATGGGACATCCAAATTCCTCCAGCAAAATCTCAACAAACATTTAGCTGGGAAATTATCTTAAAGGTCAATAAGAAGCGGGACCTGAAGGGACAAGGCACCTTTAACAATCATTCAAAGTTGGGAAAAAAAGACTTTCAAGAAGATAAAGGAATAAATAACCGAAAGAGAAAACGGGCATTTGAGTGATCAGGTTTGTGGTGACAGAGAAGCAACAAAATGCCAGCTGGTTTTGGTAACAGATGGCTGCGTGCACTGATCTGTCCTGCATGCCCATTCTAACTTTCCTTTCAGTGGAAATATGAAGCTCACAAACGGCTCAATGCATCCTTCAGGCAGCCTTTCCATACACACTGCATCACGATTCAAATGTTTGCCATTCACCAACAGTCCTATATGCATGATCTTTTATTCTAATTACACAAATGTTAAGAAAAGAGAGTGGCTAAATGGCACCTCATCTTTTCAATCACATCTACGACAATTCTCAAGGAAACACTTTTCTCTGATGGGCTAATATACCTATTTTCTTACAGTTCTGACTGCCATATCTCCCTTTTACCTTAAATAAAGCATTCACTGTATTTTAATTTAAAGGTCTTTCTTTTTTGCACCTTCCCTCTGGTAGCTAAGGAAGGAAACCATGACACAAAGAGCGCTCATACAGTATTTTTAGCATATATCCAAACATTTATCATTTGAAGTTGCCACAGCTAATTACACTGCAGGCACAGGTCATCCCTCTGGAAAAGCCTATTATTTGTGGAGTAGAATGAACCCTTCAATCCTAAATACCTCAGGATTCAAGTAATCATTTCCAACTGAGAAAACCAGCAAGTCTGAAGAAAACTCCACCCTGAAGAACAGAAAAGCCTACCTAAAACACTTGCTTTCTGTTTAGTTGTTTTTTTTTCTAAAGATAATTTTTAATAGGACCTTTTTCTAGATTAACAATCTGCTAAAAAATCCTGAAAACCAAAACTGTTTTCTTACTTACTTTGGCCACACAATTTTCAGTCTTCATAGCAGCGCTTCCTAGACATACTGTTTCCTGGTTTAAGCACAGTCTGGCACAGCTGTTGTAGGTCTGCAGAAAGATTAAAATGGTTATGAATTGAAGAGTATTATTTTCTTTCAGGCATCACATTTTTGGCACAGGAACTCACAACAACTCTACTACATTTCCTTTTTCCCAAGGTGTAAATGTTTCAAACCAAAATAAACTACTTTACAGCAAAAGCCTATGTTGAGCGCATGGATGTGCTCTGAGAGGCTATGTACAATTGTATAGTTTTCAGATACAGAGAAGAAAAAGAACAAAAATAGATTCTTCTTCCTCTTTTCCTTTGAAAAAGGAAAAAGTAAATGATTTCAATCTCTTGGTTTTTCACAAAACGCTGCATAACTGAATCAATAAAGCAAGGTGATTTCTACATGGTAGTTTATCACAGTGTGTGTCAACCATTAATAAATAACCTCCTATCTTTGTCAGGTAAAAACACATGGGGACAGTAGAAAAGTTACATTCAGAAGAGAGCAACTGCAGGACACATCTCACTTCTTGTATTTAATCTTTCAAATTTTTGAAAGCTTTTTCTGTTAAAGTAGATTGTCTTTTTTCTTTAAGTCATATACTGTCCTGCCCAGGGGACTATCACTGAGGCTGCGGACTTCAGAGTCTTTGCAGGACACAATATTCATAATCTATCCCGTTTTAAACACAGTATATGAGCAGTACTTACGAAATGTGCTTAAAATTACACTTTGGTTAATCTGGCTACTTGAACTAAGACGTCTGAAGAATTTAGGAATTTCTAATGGAGACCCTCCCCCCTACTTTCAACACCATTTAAAAAATTACTACTTGAATAAATTCACATTTTCTACTAGTAGGAGGAGTATAGTAGCACCTAAGAGCTCCAGTGTCAGATTAAAACCCCAGTCCCTGACACCACTTACAGGAATCTGCTCACAAGCAAACATGGCAGCCCAAAAGCAAGCACAAACTTGCTTCGTTGCAAGAGTAGCAACTGGACCACAGAGAAGATTTTGCTACCTCAAACAGTTGTTTGGGGAAAATCCAATATGAAAGAGAATGAAATTAAACTTGCTACAAAGACATTTCCAAGAGCCCTAAGTAAAACATACTAACATTCATGATAGTTTTAAGATTGCCTTAAGGGGAGGACGCACTAAGATTTGTAGTGAACTGCCCGTCAGTTCTCCCCCTGTAGTATTCACTGGCAATCTCTGAAGATCTTTCTTTCAGGGCTTGCTACAGATTTCTATTTGTTCAATTTGAAACTAATTCTACCCAAAACATGCCATAGGTTACAAAACCTGTGGGCAACGCTGGCTTCTAAACCTCCACCTCTGCTCCAAAGCTATGTCATCTGAGCTAGACTCCCTCCATGCTGAGCACCAAACAAATGATCTCCCCTCTTTGCCCCTCTGCCACAGGCCTGACTCCACACAAGATGCAGGCAGTAGCAACATGCAAACGAGCACAAGTGAACTGAGTGTTAGCAATCAGTTTATAACATTATTCTTATGTTCTAAATTCTAATGTTCTTATGGTCCTCATTAAGCACTTCTTACTGTCCACCACGGGAAATCAGTATACTGGCTCAGGTGGAGCTGTATTGGTCTTGCACAGTACAGACACTCCTGTAGAAATTCAGGAAGTCAGTAGTCCATTCCACCTTACTTACACTTTAGCAGTTCATGTTCTAATTCTCAGTAAGCTCTCTAACCAGAGAACCACCAGTGATGGATAGGAATGCAGAATATCCTAGCTCCAGCAGATCTCCTTACAATTTTTAACACTGGTATCTGCTGCAACTAGCAGCCAGCTAGCAACTTCTGACTGGACTCAGAAGGAGAAAATGAAAAATTCAAACACATGAATCCTTTCCAAGTGCTGTGCTGATGAACAGAGTGCATCTTTGAGCAGGGGAGATTCAGATTAAAACTGGGATTAGGACACAAGCAAAGAGAAGTTTGATGGACTCAACTTAGCCTCTTGCAAATATTTGCCAACATCATAAAGCCATCTCACTGGTATGCACAGCACTTTCTCCTCAGAATAAAGATCAGAATGACATAAACTACTATAAATTGTAGTTTAGATGCAGTGGCTCAACTGGTGGACAGAAAGTTGACACCATCTGCTTTGTATTGATGTTCAGACAAAACCATGCAAACCTCATTTTATAAGCATCATGTTAGTTAAATTCAAACAGATTCTGAAGGCAAAAAATCATAGAGTTGAGAAGTTTCTTTGTTTGTTATTTACATTTGTGTAATTTAACCCATTTATCATAAATCTGGTTTCTTTCATTTGCAACTTAATTCCTAAAATTCCTATAGCATTATTTCTGCACAATTTATCTGCTACATACTGTAAATTTTATGAGGAGTTCTGACTTGAAGAAAGCTAACTCCACTTTGCAGATGAAAAGCTCAGCCACAGAAACAATTACTGAAAGCAAACTGAAAGCCTGTGGCTCCATGAACTGAACCATAAACTGAACTCAGATCTTGTCAGCTTTTTTCCTCCCAAGACAGGTATGCACAAACCTTGGTAGCAAGCCAGCTTTTTAAAAGCTGGGCTCAGCAACAGGCTTTCTCTCACATTTACAAATGGGAAAGAGCACATAATGGAGAGACAATATGAAATGCTAAATCTAAAAGCCCTAGAACTTTCTGAGAAGGACAGAAGCTCACTGTTCCACTATTTAAAAGTTATGTGTATGCCAGAATGTAGATACAAATAATTACTCCAATGTCTTGCTTAATTTTTATAATTTTCATCTAGACATTACGTTTCGGTGCGTACAGCACCAGCTGAATTTCCAGTATAACTTGTTCATCAAATCCCACAATCCCAGGACTAGTGACACTTGATGGGACTAGTATAGCATAAATATAAAACAGATACAATGAAACACTTCTTCACACAGCAGGCAGTGAACTTCTGGAGCTTGCTGCCCCAGGACACCATGGAAACAACATCACCAAGTGGAAAAAAGGATTAAACAAACTCATAGAGAGCATGCCCATAGAGTACTCAGCAGAGATACCCCTGACATGCCTAGTGCAACAGTGGTAGATGCTGCAGGAGCAGGAGGCAAATGCAGCATAAAGATATGCCAGATCCGTTTGCTCTCATTCAACAGCATCTTCCACCGAGAGATGTGAAGTTGGCATTGGACAAGCAGGCACTGGGTCTCACTGACCTTGGCATTCCCATGCTCTCAGTATCTCTCTGCCCTTTCACAACATGCCAACAATACTTAAATCCCTCTTTCTCAACCTTTTCAGCCACAGAAAGGAGACAAGAACATGCTTTTAGTGTGGGAATCAACTTTTACACAGTAGTTTCATAATGTACAGATCTATTTAAGTGCCAAATTACCTGACGACCATTTAGTCTGTCAGCAGCTCTTTGTTTCTCAATAAAAGTTGTGGGGGGAAAAAGAAAATTAAAAGGAGCAAGTAGAATGGGTGCAACCCATCAGAACACAGATTTGAGAATAAAACATGCAGTGATCTTCAGTTCAATGTCCATTACTATGTTTGCAAAGTTACAAAGTTTCAGTTTTATTTTCACATTCTCACAGAAGAATTTTCACATCGTTAGACATGTGGTATGAATAAAAAGAAGATTAATGTGTATGTTCTACAATTTGTTTTAGAAGGTTAAAAGTAAAATCTCAGATGAAAGTCTAGATCTCCCTTATAGTCCATAGGGGGAAAAAAGAGGTAATGTCATGCTACTCTGTAGGTCTCAATGGAAATGTCTTAATATTGTTGCAAAGAAGCTGCATATGGTTCACAAAGTCAAGCCATGAGAAGCTGGGACAACATATCGTGCAGGTAGTACTACGTGACTGCCCTCTTCTAATGTTTCTCTCTAGGCAGCAGTTACTGGCTATTGTGAGACACAAGATTACTGCTGGACATGGAGGTTTGATCTCATCTGGTATTGTTATATTTGTGTTTGCACACTAAGAGTCACTAGTGAACAGACCTAACTGAAAGTAGAGTGAATATCATACCAAGTAATAATGCAGAGCCCTACATTTTAGGTGAAATATTTGATGGTGTCTTCATGCTAAACTACAACATCAGATTACCTTCCTTCATTTGCTCTGATGCCTATGGGAACACTGACTAACCTGGAAGAAACCCAAGAAAATGAAAACCAGAACCAAGCCTCAGAAAAGCAAATTTCTCAAGCTCACCTTTAAAACTTGACTCTTTTACGAATCTTGTCTGATTTGCACCAAAACTGTTCAGGTTTCTCTTCACCTTTCATCAAGATAAGAGGTTCTTCACCAAGGAAAAGTAGTCTGAAATGGTAGCCTAGTTCAAAGCCATGGGCAGATAGCTTTGCGTTGGAGTGCTTTAATATGTTTTTATATTGCATATAAAGCATGCAAACATAAACCAGTTTGTTGAAAACTACCCTCTTTGTGGAAGCTGGCTGTAATTCTGAACAAGTTTTCAATTTTCACACTGCTGCTAGGGTAAAACATTTTAAAGAGTTTAATTTTTACAGTGGCTTCAATGACACAAGATTATCTAACAAAGTAATGGTTAATCAATAGAGGGCTTAGTTGTCAGGTGAAACATATAACACACTAAAAGGGATTGATTGCAAGGCTCCTCCTTATTTACTGGGAGGTATATATTTAAAATGACACAAACTTGTTACCAAGCCGCATTCCTTTAACCTTGCAAAAGCCGTTTGAAAACAGTGTTAAGCAGCCATATAGCAAAACAAGCTCTAATGAAAAAAATAAACACCCTACAAATATATGGCAGCACCAAATCATGTCAGAAGCAGGGGAACCACAAAGCTGCATTTGCTCTCAGCCAAAGGCTTAAAGTGCCACAGAGATGGTAGACTATGGTTCACTAAAGATAGAGCTGCATCTGATCTCATTCCGTAAGTGTCTTTGGCTACATTTTTCTTTTTAAAGAAAGTATGATCCTCCTCTTTGACATAAACACATAAACATTTCTACTCTTGTCTGTGTAGCTCTGGACAAATGCTGAATGCCAACCTGAAGCCTCAAACCC